CGAAGCTACCTTTGCAAGCCAGCGACACTTCTACCTTACCTAGGGGACTATCACGATATTTCTCCATGATTTCCACTCTGTAGGCCTCTGATTCCAAAAAGGCAAGGTGATCCTATAGAGATTGGATGTTAGCCAAAGACGCCTTGTGGGCCGACCAATCCTCCTTAAGATCAATCTTCAAGGTCTGGGAAGCCAGGCGATTCTTCTGAGTACATTCCTGAGCATCGAGCCTCTCGTGCTTCTCAGCCTTGACCTCTTCTGTCAAATACCTTATTCGGTTGTCGCCCTTTTTGATCTCATGCTGGTAATGGTCGATTTGATTTAATAGATGCACCTTTCAACATGCAGAGCATAAATAATCTTTATTTCAAGTGCAGTCAGTTGACGAGGGCTTTTATCATGTAAAGAGATTCCAATTTGAGCTATAGGCCCGCTACAGCCTTCTCATGCATGACTTCCCGAAGAATCTCGTTTGACAAACACAATTGAATTAAAGTTAATGTGTTTTCATCCATCTCGAACTTTTCATCATCTGTCATCAATGTTGGCATCTTTTTTTTTCCAACAAAGCCTTTTATAATCCTTGCTGAACAAGAATAGCCCGCATCTTCACTTGCTAAAGATCAAAATTTAGATCACGGTCGAGCTTCTCAATCTTGTATTTCACAAACTTCTTCTTTGTGCACAAAATAAATCACAATTGAAGCTCTGATACTAGTTTGTTAGAAATAAGTACACAATAAAGAGAAAATAATTACAAAAAGAAAGAACGAGAAAAAAGAACAAGCAATCGCGAACACAGATATTTATGTGGTCCACCCAATTTGGGCTACATGCAAGACCGAGATGTTAGAGAATTCTACTATCAAAAGAGAAAAAAGTATGAAAACAAGGTAAAGACCTAAACCCTCAAACTCTCCTTCTTCAATCCTCTCACAAAACCCTCAATATAAGTTCTCTTTATTTTAATATATATAAGAGACAACAATAGATCAGGAAAGAGGTATCCAAAACTAGGAGTTGGAGGTCAAAAGAAAAACGAATAGTAGTAAATCATCAAAAAACTGTTATCAGCGTTATAACTATCGATGGTCAAATACGACCATCGATGATCTCCTTCAAACCATCGATGGCTCCCTATAGTCCAACGATTGTGCTAACTCTAATTTCTATTTTTCTCTGATTGTTCACTATAACCCATCGATGATCGAAGTAACCATCGATGATCAGTTGTTGACAATTGATGATCTGTTGGCTGATTTAAACAATCAGAGGGTTTTTAGACATAATTTCAAGGTATCCATAGGGTTTAGAATTCTTCTTCTTATATAGAAGACCAAAAACATACTCTTAATAGGAATAGAATTCCTAAATGAAAAAATAATAATTTAAAACTAGCTAAGACACTCCCTATAACAGAGGAAACATATCGATTCAAGTTGAATCAAAATTGAATTTCTTTGCTAATCTAAAAAAGGCTCTAATTTATTATTTAAACTAACCTAAAAGCTAATTATTTTTAAAATTTTGCTAAAAGCAGGTGATATTTGTGATATTCTGGAAATCTGACAAGCTAATTGACTCTGTTTTGTCGAGATAGGTGAGTTTCATATATAATACGTTAGAATCCGTCTTCTGGATTTAAAGATATTATCGTTTCTCTATGTATACGTCAATAATGAGTACGTATCCACATTTAGCTCATGAATATCAAACCTTTCATAAATTTGTTCATTATGTGTCCTATATCATTTTGATAGTTGCAAGAAAATGGATAGTAAAAAAATATTAACAAACCACCGAGAGTAAACATGACAAAATGTAATTTTTTGAACTGATAGAAGATACAAACCTAGGTGGTTATCAAGGAAGTGGAAGCACAAGGACTCTCAAAGAATATAGTTACGAAGGTCCTCGTCAAAATAGTGAAACTGTTGCTCAAGAAAATCAACTAGAAAAAAGGAACAAGACATTAACCGTGAAAAAAATAGGAGGATGTAATTTTACTTAGGGAGCAGGCACAAAGGAGGTAATAAAATTCATATCTCCCAATACTCAACACCAGAGGAACATAGGTAAAGTTTCTAATAGCTAATACAAAGGTGCATACGAAAAATTAAAGTCTGTAATGGTCATACAATTTAAGATAAAGCATACATCAAATTGAGTTGCAATAAGCAATAAATAGAAGCAAATTGCAGAAACTGTCAAGCACAAAAAAAAAGGATAAACTGGAACATATGTGTATAGCTCAATGATAGAAGAAAGGGAGGGTACTTGGGAATGCAAATTGTTATTTCTTCATGCATAGATATACCAAAAGATAAAGGAAAAAGACAAAGAACATGAATTATAGACGAGGAAAATAAGTCATTTCATGCATACAAACTGATTGCAAGTACAAAACAAACACATCATGCACAGACATCTAAAACGTAAAAGTTAGTAAAAAGGAAAAATAAAAGGTATTACTTGAGCAATAAAGAAAAATCTCATACCCATACCTTTTGTGCTCTAGATCTTGTCCATTGTTGGCCTTGTAACTCATTATATTATGATCTATTATGACTGAACTTGACACTTAAATAATCCTTCAAAATTATAACCATCTTGGCCGCTAGTCATTCTAAAAGAAGGGATGTGGTGCCAAAACCTTGGTAACTCTTTTGGTTTAAATGTCATAAACAACCAAAAGCCTTTGTGAAACTACCATATAAATACATTCTCACGACCCTGTGCTCAAACTCATGCTGCCACAATTACATTTTCTTCCTCAGGAAAAGCTTGCACAATCTCTACTACACTAGTAAAAAATATAGCATCATAGACGGAAAAATGTCTGTCTAGAATGACGACAATATCGACGGACAACATCCGTCTACGATATTCCGTCTAGGATGAATCATCCTAGATAGGAATTTTCGTCTAGCACTAATAGGAAAACGACCAATCTAGATGGAACAACCTAGAGGGAAAAAAATTTCGTCTAGGTTGAATCAAACTAGACGGAAAATTCCGTCTAGTTTACAAACGAGACGAAAAAGTCAACCTAGATGGAATTCCATCTAGGTTGCTTGGGAAACCTAGACGAAATTCTGTCTAGGTTGCCTAGGGCA